GGCGCAGGAGGGGAAGACCCTCTCTGAGATGGATTGATTCAGTGACTGGGGTAATCGGGATGGGTGTGTCAGAGGCAGTGCGGATGGTGCAGGATAGAGTAGGGTTTAGGGCTGTTGTGCATAGGGTGGCTATGAGTCGCAAACAACTTGACGACACATAACAACAAACAACAACAATGTAGCCGTTGATTCATCATCAGTGTTGGGAACCGAACAATGACTTTGGAGCTGGGCCTGCTAAGAACCTGGGCCTTGCCTCCTCGCTTGGCATTGTTGATGCCCTTGAGCACGTCAGCCAGGATGTTTATGCGCACCACTGTGGTGGCATGGAAAGATGGCGGCTCTTCCATCTTCTTTTGATGCTCCCTGCATCATTCAAGGTTTTTCCTGTAGTATCTCTCAGTATTGCAATCATGAGGCTTGAATTTGTTCTTTCTTCTTGAGAAATGCTGAATGTGTTCTTCTCTCTCCGTTTTCTCTCTTTGCACATTTTGATATACTTTGCTTTGTCTTCTTGGACAACCCTTTGAAATCCTTCTGTTCAGCTTTCTTACTTCAGCATAACCTTCCCTTGTTTGGCTTCTTTACCTTTTAATGGAAGTTTTAGTTTCTTTTCTGATATCTGTTTTTGTCTTTCTTTCTTCTCTTTGTAATGATCCTTTGCTTTCTTTGTGGATGATATCCTTGATGCCATCCCACAAGTTATCTGGTCATCAGTCATTAGTATTAAATACACTAGTTTTCAATGACTGTGGATCATACCAGTTTGTGGATAACATTAGAAAAACGGGAATTCCAGAATACGTACTTGTGCTCATGAAACCTAAACATAGACCAAGAAGCAGTTGTCTGAACAGAACAAGGAACATCTCATGGTTTAAAATTAGAAAAGCAATGTATCAAGGTTGTATCTTTTTTCCATATCTACTGAATGTATTTGCTGTGCAAATAATTTAAGAAGCTGGACTGTATGAAGAGTATGGCATCACGATTGGAGGAAGATTCATAAACAACCTACATTATACAGATGACACAGCCTTGCTTGCTGAAAGTGAAAAAGACTTGAAACCTTTACTGAAGAAGGTCAAAGACTACAGCAATCCAACATTAATTATATGTCAGCATCAAAAACCCGAAAATCCTTACCACTGGACCAGTAGGCAAACAT